TTTACAGCGATACAAACGCTAATTATTCTGAGTCAGTTTGCTAAAAAAATCTGAAAAGTCTGAAGAATCTGAATATCTTCAGTAGATAACTTTGAGACCTTTACTTACAAAAATTTTTCGCTAATCGGATATTTCTGCAAATGTTTTGGAAACAATGTAAAATCGGAAGAATTCGAAATTATTCCCCATCTCAACTTTTCGTAGATAAGTACATATAACATTTACGATTCTAAGCTAATAGGACGTAGAATTTAAGTAATAGCAATTCCAGATTTTCTCAGTTTCGTAACTGTGTAGCAACACACTAAATAATTCGTGATAACATAATAGGTTGAAAAATGAGTTTTCTTACACTTGAAAATCTTGACTTTATCACAGGACTTCTCTCTTCACAGTACAGGATTTTAGCTTTTCGACGTAAACATTTCAGACCTGTATATAATTTCTCAATCATCACAAGGTTTACCGCAACTCCTTGAACAAAGAGTTCACACCTGCGCACTGCCTTCTTATTGTAATGAAGCTCCCAAATACCCATAAATCTAAAGAGATGAGAAAGACCAATGGGATTTTTGAAAGACAAAGGATTTTATCATAGAACTAAATTTATTTCTATTGTCGCGCATGCCCGCGAAGGTGAAATGGATGAATAGGCAACTATTGATAAAAGCTAAAACAACTGTCATTTGAAATGTTTGAACAAAAGCGTTACAACACTTGTACTTGTCATATGATTTGAAGTGCATATTGTAGATAAATAAATTCGTGTTCATTAAGAATGAGAACGAGAACTTGTTGGATCGTATGATCTCTGATAGGCTAGCAAATGCACTATCTCCACAAATGAGCAGGAATCTAATTCATAAACAATTATACCACTCTAAGATGTGCTTGAGCTGCTCGAATGCTTGATCTATATCTATTCATATTTTTGCTGAATATTTACCGTTTTTTCCAAATTGCACTGTATACTTCACGTATATGCAGATTTCTACACATTTTGGACATTTTCCCTTCTCTAGCTTACGTACATATGAGTGTTACCGCAATGCAGTCTTTACATTTACTTACATCTCAACCAAATTTGGAATTGAACCATTTCCTAAACATCGTTAAGCTAGCGCCTACTCTATCTTGTGGTTCGCGTATTAATAATGGAGATAGATTTTCCGAGCTGTATGCAGTTCCTCCACCAAATCTATAAGAATATGGTACTGGCCTAGGACTAATATGTGCCATTAACAACATAAGCTGATGGTCATTTATCCTTTCACGATTACCTACGCCGCTGTGTTTGGAAGCGCATATCAACAGCATGATACAGTTCTCTACCTATAGTAAATGAATATGATGTCCTTATAAAATTCTACACCGATGGTTTGGAAGCTGCGAGGTCTCCAAGCAGCTTCTGCTTGTATTAGGTCGTTTCGCAAATTGTAGAGTTTCATTTTGGTAGCCATTGAAGAAGCGGTTGGTTTAAGGTTTACCTGCCTGTATAGGGGTAGAGGCGAAACAGGCCATACTGTATACTATCTATGCTAACATTCATCTATTATGTGCAAGCGGTTGGCCGAGGGGCGGTCTGCCGCGCTCTGCCGCGGCCTGCCCGCTCCAGTTCGAATTCAAAATCGACCACCGACCGACTAGTGGGGTGAGTACGACTATGATTTACGAAACGACCTAATACATACTGACGTGAATACGTACAGACTTCTTTGCATATAAGCTCCTGCAAGACGAAGGCGGTCGGTTTGATGTGCGACTTGGCTGTGACGCGGCTGTGACGCGGCTGTGACGCAGCCATGTCGCAGCCGCGTTGCACACCGAACCGACCGCCTTCGTCTCGCAGGAGCTTATACTCTCTTTTCTTTTTAATTCTAACTCCAAAGAAGATCGCAGACTATTTACTGAGTCTAGGATTTTCAGTTTCACCGGAGGCTAGGACCAAGAATGTGCTTGTGCACTACGTAATACAGCACCCTCTTGTAATGTTTTTCTGGAGAATTGATTTCGTTCAAGAAATGTAATAGTGTTGACTTGAGACTTCGTACCAGGGTAAAGCGGGGGGTGCGGCACTCGACCGTCGGATACGACCCCCCCCTGATTGCTGTCTTAATAAGACCCCCCTCCTAAACTATACACTTAAGATAGTATTACCTGAAGGCGCTGTCAAACATAATGGACAACATATCCATAATTAGCATGTCAAATACCCCCTGTAGACAAAGTGTGAGCGAATTCTGAAGATTCAAGATACTAGGCTACCTAAGTGAAATGGTCAAATTCCAACATGGTTAACTTTGTTTTAAAGGTGAATTAGCTATCCGTTTTTGCACTCAAGACAAAGCACTACTCCTTCTTTGTCCACCTCAGGAATCCCGCTTCAGAAGACCTCCAAACTGTGGAATTAGAAGCCAACCAAAATCTCATTTTTCCCATTTTTCGCTTTTGATGGCTGTGCTTTCACCAAATATTACTCAGAGCTAAGAAGACGAATCAGGCTCAAAACATCCCTAAGGAATCTACGAGGTTTAGGCTATCGATTCATATAAATATTGTCCGCTAAAAATGTTTTTTTGATGTAGTTAATGGCCTGCGGCACCCCTGCGGCACCCCTGCGGCAGCCGCAGGTTTTGAAGGGGGGTGCCGCAGGCCATTAACTATATCAAAAAAACATTTTTAGCGGACAATATTTATATGAATCGATAGCCTAAACCTCGTAGATTCCATAGGGATGTTTTGAGCCTGATTCGTCTTCTTAGCTCTGAGTAATATTTGGTGAAAGCACAGCCATCAAAAGCGAAAAATGGGAAAAATGAGATTTTGGTTGGCTTCTAATTCCACAGTTTGGAGGTCTTCTGAAGCGGGATTCCTGAGGTGGACAAAGAAGGAGTAGTGCTTTGTCTTGAGGGCAAAAACGGATAGCTAATTCACCTTTAAAACAAAGTTAACCATGTTGGAATTTGACCATTTCACTTAGGTAGCCTAGTATCTTGAATCTTCAGAATTCGCTCACACTTTGTCTACAGGGGTTAATTGACGTGCTAATTATGGATATGATACGAATATCATGTTATCGCTATAATCAGATCACCTAACTACGACCCCCTCCCCTTTTGACTCCTCAATACGACCCCCCCTCTGCGGCGTGCCGCACCCCCCGCTTTACCCTGCTTCGTACTTGAATATTCAACGGTACCAAAAAGGAGCTGCACCAAGAAGTTAAAGTGTGAAAAGAAAGAACTGCTACAAACGTAAAATCTGCGACGAGAAGCAAAACCGGAGAACTTTCATCCTGGTGAACACAAAAAGTGCCTTAGCTCTTGGAATGACCTTTAATCCAAATGAAGCTTTTGCTTTAAATCAAACTGTGCAAAAAAGGATATGTGAAAATTGTGACACTATCGCAACGCAACGTTCATCCATTATAAAATTCGCAAAGATCAATTGCCTGCTTCTTTCAAATGTTATGAGCAGTTAAGGAGCGCTCATTAAATCTCTGCGCTTAAGAAAACACAAAAATTTGCCATCAGTGTTCGCAGTGTATTTGATGAGGAAAAAGTTTTCGCTGAAGATTTGGTCACGAACAATACGATCCGCCTATCCCCCGCGATTGTCTAGCAAACCATAAGCATGGACGTTAATTTTGAACCTATCTTCATAATGATACAAAGCAGATAAAGGGATTAATGATAATAACTTGTGTATCAAAACAAGGTGGAAGTAGAGTTCATTTATTTCAACTAGTTTCATGGCAAACGTAGCCTCAGCCGCGAATCGGTCAGTAATCCCATTTTATGGGTGTCATACATCTACGTGATTCAGTAAAGCCGTACTTTATAAAACGGGAGAATCGCACTTGCTCACGATCGCACTATACTTGAAAAAATTGCACAACAATGGTGACCTTAGGTAACATTTACAAAAAATTTTCTATAGTTTTTGACAGTTCTTTGGTTGGTCTCTATCAGTTCTAAACTTTTTGAATTTTTGCTGGATTTGAAAAAAAAACCACCGACCGACTAGTGGGGTGAGTACGACTATGATTTACGAAACGACCTAATACATACTGACGTGAATACGTACAGACTTCTTTGCATATAAGCTCCTGCAAGACGAAGGCGGTCGGTTTGATGTGCGACTTGGCTGTGACGCGGCTGTGACGCGGCTGTGACGCAGCCATGTCGCAGCCGCGTTGCACACCGAACCGACCGCCTTCGTCTCGCAGGAGCTTATACTCTCTTTTCTTTTTAATTCTAACTCCAAAGAAGATCGCAGACTATTTACTGAGTCTAGGATTTTCAGTTTCACCGGAGGCTAGGACCAAGAATGTGCTTGTGCACTACGTAATACAGCACCCTCTTGTAATGTTTTTCTGGAGAATTGATTTCGTTCAAGAAATGTAATAGTGTTGACTTGAGACTTCGTACTTGAATATTCAACGGTACCAAAAAGGAGCTGCACCAAGAAGTTAAAGTGTGAAAAGAAAGAACTGCTACAAACGTAAAATCTGCGACGAGAAGCAAAACCGGAGAACTTTCATCCTGGTGAACACAAAAAGTGCCTTAGCTCTTGGAATGACCTTTAATCCAAATGAAGCTTTTGCTTTAAATCAAACTGTGCAAAAAAGGATATGTGAAAATTGTGACACTATCGCAACGCAACGTTCATCCATTATAAAATTCGCAAAGATCAATTGCCTGCTTCTTTCAAATGTTATGAGCAGTTAAGGAGCGCTCATTAAATCTCTGCGCTTAAGAAAACACAAAAATTTGCCATCAGTGTTCGCAGTGTATTTGATGAGGAAAAAGTTTTCGCTGAAGATTTGGTCACGAACAATACGATCCGCCTATCCCCCGCGATTGTCTAGCAAACCATAAGCATGGACGTTAATTTTGAACCTATCTTCATAATGATACAAAGCAGATAAAGGGATTAATGATAATAACTTGTGTATCAAAACAAGGTGGAAGTAGAGTTCATTTATTTCAACTAGTTTCATGGCAAACGTAGCCTCAGCCGCGAATCGGTCAGTAATCCCATTTTATGGGTGTCATACATCTACGTGATTCAGTAAAGCCGTACTTTATAAAACGGGAGAATCGCACTTGCTCACGATTGCACTATACTTGAAAAAATTGCACGACAATGGTGACCTTAGGTAACATTTACAAAAAATTTTCTATAGTTTTTGACAGTTCTTTGGTTGGTCTCTATCAGTTCTAAACTTTTTGAATTTTTGCTGGATTTGAAAATGCTCTGAAGTTCCTGAAACGCTCAAACTGGGCAGACGTCATAATTACGGGCAACAGAATCCTTCCAATGCTTTTGTTTTCTCATAGAAAACCAGAGTCCAGCTTCAAGACATTGCTGTCAGGCGGACATGTATCATTGAAATAAAAATTCTCAGATCCTGCGATGTTGAGTTACGTACGGATGGAGGCAAAGAAAAAATTCACTCTGCAGTGTTAGCTGCGCACAGTCCAAAAGTGGCAAAGGTATTGGCTTTGATCTTTTCCAAATGAAAGCAGAAGCTTTTCCGTTTTCACGTGTATATAAATTTTTACATCTTCACTTGAATATGTAGCACTGGAGAAGGGGGAAATGTTGCTTTTTGAAGGTTTTTAAAAAGAAAAACAATTAGATTTGAATGAGAGCTCTAGCGCCAAGTTACCCGCCAAGTTAAGAAATTTAGAAGAATTATCTATGAACTTATTGGCTTTTCCGTTCCGCTTGGACCGAGACTCAACGGCTCCGCATAGTAACTACATAAACCCAAGCGATTGAAGACACCCTCCCTCGATTTTCATCTTTTTACTTTCTTTGCCGTCCCCTCACTCTTCTTTATCCTATTGCAAATCCATGCAGCAGTGCTTCTGATAGAGTTGTCCTCATTCCACCGCCGGAGCACCACATCCTCCTCACCCGAGATAAGTCAGGTTTATCGCCCCTCATATGACTATTTGGAATTACTAGATGGCGCCCCCGATCCCGCCCTGGAATTGGGCAACTTAATCCCAAACGCGTTGAAACTTACCGCCCTTCTCCACACTGCCGCGAAATGTGACTCTCTCTTGCTGACTTGAATCGGATCCTTGTGGCCGAAAAATGTAAATGAACTTCACAGCCCAATTTACATGACTGCGGAGGAAATGATTCAACAATGGTTGGTGACTCTTAATGTAAGTAAACAAATCAATAAATCGATTGAAGGGCCCAGTGAATTGTCGCAAAAATTAGCCTATCTTTTGTGCTTGGCATCATTTATAGGGGAGCAAATTTCAGCCTCATCGGTCCACAAATAAAGGAGTCTATAAGCCACATACTTACATAGGACCAAATTTTAAAAATTGAGTTGAATTTATAGACTAGTTGGCTTCCCCGGTCCAGCCGGGGCCATTGGTCACCTGCACTGCGAACCCCCCCCCCCCTCTTACATTTTATCGATGACTTAACCGAGGACATCCGCTTCGAAACCGCATCTCGTAACCGAGATGCGGTTTCGAAGCGGATGTCCTCGGTTAAGTCATCGATAAACCGCCCTTCTTTACATGACCATAGGAAAATGCATGATTGAACATGATAAGCATTCAATTCCTTAGAAAAACACAAACAAATCAATAAATCAATAAAAGCACCTAGCAAATCTAGTAAAAAGTATCCTAAAACCGTCTCCGGGGTTAGGAACATCTGTGTGCAAAGTTTTAGCCCAATCGGTTGAGCGGCGTGCGTTTTTATAACTCACATGCCCTCCAAACAGACAATTTTTGTTTTATATATATACCAGTGCTTCACCTCTGCTTCGCAGAGGTTCGCACTGGCATTGTGAACCGTGGTAAACTCACTTTCTGAGAGCTTGTCTCTCAAATCATTGTTCGGTTTATTGCAACGTGAGCTGTAGTTAAAAATGAACCATACTCGCTATCTTAACCTCACATGATGTTTAGTATCGTAAATCATTCCTCACTGTAATTTCGTAACGGACAAACTCCACACAACTTCAGATTGAGCCGCTTATTACAAGTCATGATAGAGATACAGTCTGCCTCAATCGGGATCAGGCCGAACCGTCTGATTCGCGCTCGCAGCGCTAGGGGTTTGCGCTGCATACGCGCGCTGTCGCAAAGAGCGAAGAGATTGAGGAGAGAGCAGACTAGCTAGACGCAGAAGTGGCGCGAAACCCTCGCGACGCGCACTCCCGCCAAGCCAATTTTGGCCTGGTTAGGATTGGGGCAGACTGTAGATGATGATTGATAAATCTTCACTTCCCTTATTCTAAGCAATAAATCAATAACTCGATGGAAGGAGTGAGCTAACCGCCGCAAAAAGTAGCCTATCGTATGCGCAGGGGTTGAGAACATATTTATGTGTACAAAATTTAGCGCTTCTTCGATCATTCACAAAGATTTCTGTTTGACACATCCACGGAAACATACTAACTCACAAACTTTGAGTTTCACATGTATATAGATATTGCACTGAATTCTTTGAAAAGCTCGGAGAACTAGATAAGCAAAGCTAGCAACAGGATCAGATAAATATTCAAGTAAGCAAGAAGAGAGCCCAGTAGAGCAAGCGAAGTTGATGCCATCCTAAATATGGTTATCTTTATCAAAAAAGGGTACTTTTCTTTATGTAAAAGCTTCAGTCTAGATTTTTTTGTAGATCTTGTGAGAACTCTTCTCGCCATGTATCAGCACAAAAATCAACATGTTTGGGCCAGTTTGACATGTTATTTTCAAAATTATTTCCGGTAGTGTTAGAGCATATGAAATGACTTCAAAAGCTGTTCAGGGTCTTTCATGAACGCAAAACAGTTTTAAACGTTTAACAAAGCATTTGTTAGCTTTCAGTGATGGTTTGAAGAAATCCTGCTCTTCACATTGTTTTCCACCATGCGAATATAGCCAGGAAAAACCATGAGTAATGGCTTGAAGTACCTGGCTGCCGATTACTTCGTCGTTTAGGTGTAAAACAATAGCCCAGTTTTCTGTTTTGGGAAAATTAATGTGTTTATTAAAACGGAATATCGTTTTCTATTGAGCTCATTCACAAAATTGATAACTGAAAAAGCAGTTATTTTATTGAATAAAATCAGATTAATTAAGAGCAGGGCATACTTCACGACGATTCGCCAGAAGTCTTTAGATCCAACACTAGCAAACTGCACATGCGTAGTGTGTATAAGTTACGTGGATTGATAAAATGCCCTATCTTCTATACTTTAAAATGTGCTTGCCATGAGTTATGGACAGCTGGAAACTGCCAAATCGCGTTGCGACTGAAATCGCGTGAAGTATGCCCGGCTCTTTACATTGATGGGCTAAACAAACTCTTGGGTAAAACCTGTCAAACATGTAGATGTAATGTCAATTGACAGGAGAGAAAGAAGCGATAGTTCTATGAAAACAGAGTTGAGCAAAAGGTCAGGCACAAGTCGTTTGGAAAGCCCCAAAACGACCCCCTCTGAATTCTTTCTACTTCCGGAACCTCAGAGTGTGACACTCTGGAGAAGACGGTCTGTCCTGCAGTTTTTCAATTTTAGGAGACTGTATGATCGCTTTTCCGTGATCGCACATTACAAGCACACGCAGCTTGACGGCAGATTTTGATGTGAATCGCGCTACTGAAGCCAGAATTTCCCACCAGGTGGAGTGTTTTGCTCCAAATTTTTACTGAGGCAAGAAGAGGCTATGAGCTCAATATCCATACCAGGGGACTGATTTCTGAATTTTGAAGACAAGTTAAGTGGGTCAGCCGCAAGGCTACAAAAGCTTAGGCGGTCTGACCTTTTGAGGATTGCGCCCGGTCAACTTTATCTCCGAAGACGCTTCATCCTAGTTTTAAGTAATTCGCTAGCACAAAACTCGAACATTCTACAATAGGTGTTTGAGCTTAGCTCGACTTGTTTCGGCTTTGTGGTAATCCGCGGAGTTGACGCGCTCAAGGTCGATGTTTGGGAATATTGGCAGTACTTCCTAATGCACTATTCGAAAGCGGTATAAATTCTAATTTCTAGTATAAATGATAGGGAACATTACTTTGTTATGAGTATAAAAAGCTGACTTCTTTCACTTTTGAAACCAAGTTAATCATGTTTGAATTTCAAGCTTTTTAGACGATAGAAAGGCTGGAAAATGTAATAGGTAATGGTCTGTAATGCTAGTAGAGGTGATTTGATGTGCTAATTACGGAAACTATACTCAATTTACACAGCATTCTTTTTTGGTGACCTTAGTAGTGTCAGGTAAGGGATGAAGAATTAAAATTTGGCTAATACTTCGATGGAGTCAATCAATATGCTGCGACAGCCATTCCTTCAATTCTATTGGAGTTCTGATATGCATCGGTTTAGAGCTTTTCTTCCATTTCCTTGATTTTAAAGGCAGCGTCCAGGCAGATTTGGACCTATGGAGATTTTACGTGGAGAGTACATTTGGGGCCCTAACTAAGGCGCTGCCCAAGCGGCAGCGCAGGCAGTGCTCTAACGGCTGAGATATACGCCTCGAAACTGGACTCCGCGATCGTGTTTCGCATGGATTCATGGCAGTTTCGCGCCAGGATCCACGCTTTGCGCCATGAATCCATGCGAAATACGATCGCGGGGTCCAGTTTCGAGGGGAATATCTCAGCTGTTAAAGCACTATCTGAGCTGCCGGTTGGGCAGTGGCTTAGTTGGGGCCCCAAAATTACTATCCAGGTGAGATCCCCCATGTGTCCAGACTTGCCTGGACGCTGCCTTTGAGAGAATTCGATTCTTGATTACGACCCCCAACCCCCTCAGTCTTACCACCAATACGACCCCCCAGGTCGGGCACGCCTGACCTCACGCTCAACCCTGTATGGAAATGGGTCCGGATAGCGGAAAAGTACCAAAAGTTCACTAATAATGAACGCTATTTTGAATGAGCGCTTAGAACATATTACAAGTGCAGCTCGATGGTTAGAAGAGTAGAAGTGAAAAATGTGTGAAATGGGGATGAAGATTGGCAGGAATTAAGAGAGAAAAATCATGAAAATTCTATTGTGTCTCTCACCAGCTTCTTACAGCATGCGCAGGCGCTTAAAGGCAGTGTTTCACCAATGTTGAGGTCGCGCGGATCTTCGCATATTCTACTATAGGGACCTCTAAATAGGCCATTGCAGCAAGTCTCACTCAATTTGACTCCCTCTACGCTGAAAAAAATTCGCTCAAAGTGGTACGCGGAGAGCGATTTGGTACGCGCGGACGACTCCTTCAATCTTAACCATCACGCGTTCGAACATGTCCCTCCACTTGGCATTCACCTCCCCTCTGTTGCTGTCACTGTGGCTGAGGCTGGAGTTGGAAGGCACATCTCATCCACGTTGCTTACGCGGGGCCTCCAGAAAACGGGCTTTTTGGGAACTTCGTGCGATTTTAAGCCCATACAATGCTAGACAGGCTCCGACAGGCTTGCAAGATGCAAAAATCTCGGCAACTAAATTTTGGTGAGACACTGTCTTTAAGAGCCCCGATGCTCTTCTTCCTAGCTGTTATGGAAAATCTCTCTTCATTGTGTTGTTTTGTATAACACTTCCGCATCTTGTGTCAACACATGCTCCCTTCTCCGTGGCAACTACGCGCAGCACATGGGCATTGCGCAGCGATCTCCCATTTCAGACAGTCGAAGGGATACCTCCGGACATCTTCATGCATCTCAAAAATGGGCTCTATGCTACCTTTTTGCAAATATTGTTTTGAGCGAGCCTTATCAAGGAAAGTTCGGCTGGTTTTCTGTAGCTTGTCGACTACATGCAAAGCAAAGAAAGCTTTTGGTTTCGGTAGCATAATCTCAGTAGTAGTTCACTGCAGAGCTCCTCGTAAAGGTTAACAGGACTTTGTTCCGTAACTATGAGGTTGCTCAAGCTTGTTAGAGTTGCTAAGCATGTAGAATTGAAACTCCTTGCTTTTTCTTTTACAAAAATCCATCCTAATCAGCGCTTTATCCCAATTCACATCTATTATCTTACGTGGTGAACCGATTAGGTTGCACATGTTCTGTCCTTTCCTAAAATTGTTCCCCAAAGGTCGAATTAAGAGCTGCTTTCTCCTACCACCATCATTGCATAGGAAATGTTTTATCTCTTCAAACTTGGTGGAGCTGGCGTTCTGTCTTCGCAATGCGCATTGTGCTGTCGTGGATAGAGAATTCGGGTCACACACAAAATTGCATATACCCTCTATTTCATTGAGACTGGAGGGTGGAGGGGAGAGCTTCGATCACTTAAGCTAAGAAATCGTTAGAGCACGCTCGCGAGAGAGATCCAGAGCCTCCTTCCACCACTTACCACTCCCAATGATACAGGGGTAAGACTTGTGCAAAGTGTGCAAAAGTTCTTTTTTGCAGTTACTCGCTTCAAGCAATGATAATCTGCGGATTGACATGAGCGGATTTCGAAAAGCATCTATCGCTAAAGTTATTCACTGGCTCTACAACGGAGAAGTTCAGCATCATTATTTATACATCTATAAAACAACACACTTCATCGTCTTTCAAGGTCGAGCTGCTTCCTGAACATTTGGCCGATGATTTGTCAACTACCAATTATCTTGGCGTAACTACATTACATGAACAGCTAGAAGCTACACTCAGGAACATGGCCTGCTCAAATGAGAATAGAATTGAAGCCATGAATATAGCAACGAATCCAAAGTGCGGAGTAAGTTATACAAAGATCTTACCTTTTCATCACCACGTAAATTTACCTCACGTAAAAGTGAACGCCATGTTACGAGCAGGACCCGGTTGTATACGACATTGCACAGTCTAAGCGCAAACCCTTCATTGTGTTAGCACAGGGGCAGGCAAGAAAATAAATGAATTTGAGGTCATACGTCATCGCATCAGTTTAAACTTAAGATTATAAAATATCTCTTTTCATTGTATTCGCGGATCCAATATTTTGTAACGCGCAAATTGGGGAACGAACACATACCCCGAAAGCCGCCACTTAGTTATAGGGGCCTGCAGGATCGCGAGAGTCGGACGTGCGTACGGTTATTGCGCTGCACACGTCCGATGTCACTAAGGCAGGTGCCAGAGTTTTTTTTAGAGTTATCCGCTTTAGCCGGTTCGTTCGGTTCGTAGCAAAGATGGTAAGCCGAAAACCTGTTCAACAGAGTAAGTCTGACAACTGAGTCGTCGGATGCACATCTGACGTGCGCGGCGCAATGACCGTACGCACGTCCGACTCTCGCGATCCTGCAGGCCCCCACAGCAGAGGTTATGAGAGGTCATGAAACTGGCAGCAACGCCAATTTGCATCCAATTTGCACCGAAGAGAGGTGATTCTGCGCACGGTAACTCCGCCGTCATCTTTCTCTTTATGAAAGTGAAAGACGCGATACCGAGATTTTATTAAAATTTCCAATTCAAGGTTCAGTGGTGAAGTTAGTCCATTTAGGGTGAAATTTTTTAGGGGGTTATTTTGTACTGTTTCCGGATATGATGGTGCACCTTGGAACTTCTTTCTTTTTAAATTTCAAATTGTTCTCACGAGTTTTCCCGCATTTCCAAAATTGTTATTAAGGGTTTTCCATGACGCTGTTTCCGAATATGCTAATGGGATTGTTTGAAATCTTGAATTTTTTAACTTTGAACTTTTTGCATGAACTTCCTTGAAATTATGGTGAATGTAACAAATGAAGACGAGTTATATAGTCAGTACTATAATTGTCGAAATAACACTTGACGATGTCACCGAAATATCAACTGCCACGAGGGTCTTTAAAGTGACGGAATTGTGCACGAGGAGATACCTCAAACTTGGGCAATTAAGCCTTTATTTGCAAATATAAAATTCAAACGATATTGAAAGCGAAATATAATACCAGCTCAAAATGAGATTCTCATTATGGCAAAACGTTAGTAATAAAATACGATTGATATGTTTTGGCCTAAATGAACTAAAAATCGTGACTATGGCAATGATACTGAGTAAATCTAAAAAGCAGGACTAACTGCATGAAGCAAACGATGAACAGTGACGCGCGATTCATCGTAAGAAGGAGATTACCAGCTGCGAATTTCTCGCTCCTTTTTCTTATACGCAACTGCAGTCTAAAGCATGCAGAAAAAAGACTAGCTGCTGCGCTTGAACACTTGTGTTGCAAGTGAGATATATAGAATTATACAATATACGAGATATATAATATATTGTATAATTCTATATAATATATAGAATTATACAATATATTATAAAATCGGTCGGGTTTCTCGACAGTGTATTTAGTTTGTGAGTATCTACGAAATCTTCGATGAAACTCGATCTATCGTTTAGCGGTCTAAAACATCACCAGAACAAAATAATTTAGTCAGATTCGGATTCGTTTTATTTTTCTGAACGTGGCAATTTTTTTCCGTTGTTTCCCACTTTTATCAGATTTACCGTAAAGCAAAATTACAGTCTGCCCCAATCCCGACCAGGCCAAAATTGGCATGGCGGGAGTCCGCTTCGCTAGGGTTTCGCGGTCACCCTACGGCCTGCTTCTCTGCTCTCTCTTCGATCCTTTTGCTCTCTCCGACAGCACGCATATGCAGCGCAGACCGCTAGCGCTGCGAGCGCGCAAATTTACGCCGATGGTTCTGCCTGATCCCGATTGGGGCAGACTGTACCATCTCCGGAAGCAGCATGACAAAATACAGTCTGCCTCAATCGGGATCAGGCCGAACCGTCGGCTGATTTTGCGCGCTCGCAGCGCCAGGGGTTTGCGCTGCATACGCGCGCTGTCGCAAAGAGCGAAGAGATTGAGGAGAGAGCAGACTAGCTAGACGCAGAAGTGGCGCGAAACCCTCGCGACGCGCACTCCCGCCAAGCCAATTTTGGCCTGGTTAGGATTGGGGCAGACTGTACCCTTTGAAGGCAGTGTCCAGGCTAAATCTAACCCCCTCTGATTAGAGTCGATCCTGAATGAGAGGAGCACCCCCCGAGAGGAGCACCTACGTGGTCCGGTCCTTTAATGTTGCCTCTGAATGGAGATAAGGGCCTGGAACAGCCAAAGTGTTATCAGAGCCCGCCCGGATCGGCCGTCCGTTGTCCTCAAAATGGGTCCTCAAAAATCGTGTTTTTTGGAGGTTTTAGAAAAATGAAACTTCATTACTGTAATCAGGGCCACAAAAAGGCCCCTGAATGGCAAACACATGGGAGGTAAAATTTCGGGTGGACGCTGCCTTTGGTAGAAATTTTCACCCTCAATGGAGTAAATCTGCTACTGAACTCCGAATTAAATAATTCGGAGTTCATTAGCAGATAATATCTCAATAAAATCCCGGTTTCTTACATGTAGGACGATGTTGGACTTACCGTATGCAGAATTGATTCTTTTCTGTGCAAATTGGGTGCAAATTGGTGTTGTTGCAAGATAATGAACTCTCATGAACTTTGCTGGCTACGTAGCGGCAAGCCTTTCGGGGAATGTAAATTCCCTCACCCCTCAAGTTGGTGCATGCTTTATACTGCACCTCAGCCATTCCGATATTTCTATGTAATCGCAAAAACGTATCTAGCCGTGGCCAACTTAAAAAGATGTCCTTTTTTGAGTGTGACGAAAGTACACGATAAAAACACAACACCGCCGGTAATAGAGCAAAAAGAAACCGCTGCGCGTATCCGTTCTACATTTAGAGCCATATGCGTAGACATTTTCTTCAAGCTTCCCGCTGTCCATAACTCTTGACGTTTTAAGTCAGTGTTAGAGAGCTAGAAGATAAGATACACTATAAAGTCACTTTAGGTGTCCACGCCGACAAAAAATACAATTTTGGCAGTAATCTATGAAAAGCAATTTAAAATTACTGCTGCCGAAATAATGGTGAGTATAAAACGATACCATCAACGGTAGAAACTTGATAATGTCAAACTCACCGCTTGAATTCCACCTTCCGCAAAAAAGTTAGCAAGAGCGTGTCTTCTTTCTCTGAGCGATGCTTTATGCAAAACTCGGCATGAGGGTGCCCCGTTAAGACGACTTTTCTTTTGCGTCCTAACAGGATCTAAATATCTAAACTTGTTTATTGTCAAAATGTCATTGCAACGTGCGCCAGATACTTAAACTCAATGAAACCGTGTTTGAAAATACCTACTAAATTACACAAAACGGTAAAGCGTGAATTGCAGAGCAACGTAATCTCTAACGCATTTTCTTCTCTCTAGAAAAAGAAAGAAATTGCGCGCATAGCCTTTGCAGTAATTAAGCGCCATAATAGAAGACACAAAAGACCGCTGGAGATAGATAATAAGATAGAGAGCACCCACCACCAAAGGCGATTGTTGCATCTAAAAGTTCAACCTAGTCTTTTTGTCGCTTTGCGGCCAGAGATTTATGTAAGAGATAAGCATACCAGATAAGGCTACCATGGAGGACTAGCGAGCGCTCAAACAATATTGCATCATCGCCTACTTTCGATGCAACTCGGTAAATCAAACACTGCGAACTTCCAGAAACAGCTTAGTCTTCGCCGAACCTATCGGTATTACCCAATTTCAGGTGTATAAGCCGCACCCTTTTCGCTGGCGAACACGCCAAAAGACTGACTGTCATCATGGAGCCCGTTAAGTGAGAGCAATATGCGATAAGGCGACCGCTTCGGGAGACATATGCGCGGCGGCACGTCTGGATCTGCTCGCGTTTAGAGCAAAAAGGATGCGGCTTATACACCTGAAAATAGGGTAACCGCTTGTGTGGATCGCTATACTAAAACAAGATACCAAGAACTTTAGCAACTTTTTCAAACTCGTACTTACTTTTATTCAAAAGAACGGATGTGCAATTTTATATGGAGTTATGTATCTTCAGTTTTCCCGTGTTTTTTTTATGTGTCCATGTCTCTAATAGACTGACAGCCACCCAGTGCAGAATTTTGTCTCTCAATCGAGCATGTAAGGCAATGGTTTGAAATGAAGAAGTGTTTAAGTAACTCTAAAAAAGCTAAGTACATCCACAGATTGTTTATGATTTGAATTGCATTTAAGTTCAAGAACCCAATTGCTCTTTCATTTGACTGTGTTTAATTATAACATTGATATGCTTTTTTGAAGCTTGTGTAAACATGTTTTCTGCTTAACTATGGTAATTTACGATGGCATATATTCGAAATGTTTAACTGTATGAGTATTAGGCTCACGTTTTTGTTTTTTGATAAGAGCAGCTTAAGGGAATGGTCAGAAGTCGAAGTGGCCAAACCAAACAAGTGCAGTCGATGCAGTAGAAAACAGTCTGTCTTCCTTATCTGCTTATCGCTTCTGTGAACAAAGCTACAAGCGGTTTTGTTATGAAAAAATCATACATAAAAACAGCGAAAATATGCACATTGTTGCGCTTTTAGCTCAGCTTCTGGCTTCAAAAATTTGAAGTAAGCTAGCTGCATGTTTTGGCCCAACATTAACACGTTTCGGACCGCGAAATCGCGCGCGGCGACAAAGAGTGTACTTTCAGCCGTTAGCCTACAAAGGGACCTTATTTCGCAGCCTGTGGGCCACATTTGTAATCAGCATGTCAGATAAGCTCCATATCCAAAGTTCTGAGTGAATTCGAAGTGTTTAAATTTTGTCGCTTGAGAGGGACTTTTGTGCTTTCTTGAAAGATAGGAACAAGAACTCAGATTCTAATAGTATTCAAAAGTATCTATGTTGTACACGGCACACATCAGTATTGAAACTACGGTTTTTCTCTTTGATATCGCAACAAAGGAAAGTTGCGACGTCGCACGCGTCGTTCGCGTCGCCGCACTTCGTTGCAACTGTTGTTCGATTTGTGCTCATATCTCCTAAACAAATATCGGCGGCACAACTCTACAGAGTCATTTGAAAAGTAGGAGGTTAGACCTTTAACTTAACAACTTTAGAGTAAAAGGAAACCTCCTGCAAACGCCAGAAAGATCCCTCAAAGCAGCGTGCTGCACCATGTGCAGCACCGGTCCGAAACGTGTTAAGGCGAACGTGGCTCTGTACAGCTAAATTTTCAATTTCACGCATAAGTTCATAGCAAAATAATGGTCTTTAATGGCTTATAGCTTCTTCCAGAAAAGCGATAAGCAGGTAAGGAAGACAGATGCAGTGTCGCTTTTCATGCTGCATCTAATGGTACGCAGCTTGTCTGGATTGGCCACTTCGATTTCTGAACATTCCCTTGTTAGCCGCTTCGCTGTTTCGCAATACGATGGTTATGCCCTACAACTTTATTAGTTAATCCTAGCACGGTAGAGGGTTTTGTTTGGGCCGGCCGTTTTCAAAAAAGTCCTGCGTTTTGTATCTATACAGGGTGCGTCAAAAGCAGTCTGGGAGCCTAGTACTTTTTCGTACAAAATGAGAAGGAAAGTACCTAGAAACGAAAAATTTGGCGCACACATAATTCGAACGATTGCAGGTACAGCCCAGTTCTTAAATTGCAAAATTGCCTCATTTGGGTTTCACGCGGCCCTACAAAATCTTGGCAGGTCCACCTGTCGCGGCATGCGGGTAGTCGTAATGAAATTTGCCCCACGCCTTCACAATAACTGCTTCTTTTATCTTGACAAATGTGCAGCACGATAGAACAAGCTTTTATCTACAACATACCTCCAAAAAAATTTTTTGCAATGCTTAGTAATAAAAATATTGGATTTTTGATTAAAAGCATGTGTACGTCGTATACCGGAATCTTGGCTACAATTACGCGAAAAAAAACTATGAATTACCGTTTAAAAGTATAAAAAGTGTTCCCACGGCCGAATTTCAATGGATTCTAATTCAGAAGAGTTATGCAAAAAATATAGCCTTGGTCCCAGTGCCTGTTGCGCTTCTATAGCTTTCAATTATGTTCTAAAGACGGATTTCCACTGGCACGTAGGTAACATCCGCAAACTTTTATTTTCCGTTTATGCAAGAACAGCTCCTGGCAAAAGCAAAATTACGATCCAATAGCGCAAAGCCTTTTCTATATTGTATGCATCGAAGTGTCGTAGAATATTAACAGCAATTCTAGCTATAGCAAAAATTGTAAATACTAAAAACTCTGGTTTTTTCGCTTTGCAAGAGTACTAGTTTGGTATTTTCCAATCTTACAAAAACATACGGCACCCATTTTCAGCTAGATAAAGTGTATTTTGTAGAGGATGACCGCAGCATCATGTGGCATAAAATTGAAATCAAAACCAACATTAACTTTGTAATTGCAATGTAATTGTAACTGCAAATTAGGCTCCCAGACTTTTGACGCACCCTGCAAAATTAGGATAATTTAAGAAGGGTGGTATAACGTCTGTGATAGTGACCATTTGGTCAAGATTCACATCTCTATAAACGATTAAATGTTAATCTCAAGACTGTCATTCTTGTCGTACATAATGAAACAAGCCACAAATATGACTATGTTGGCACAGCTACACGCACTGTGATCGAATAGCGCAGTGTGAGTGTGTCAGTTGCACAGATCCAACTTCATTTATCATCTCGCGTTCCGAAATTTGTGTAAGTCTAAGTCGGATAAAATCATCTAAAATCAATCACCAGCATTTCTTAAACAAAAAGTTGAAACCCATGTTTTTCAGTGCTTGCAGCCATGGACGGTCAAAGCGTTGGTCTCCGCATCCGTTTCAAGGCCCGTAAAGATTGCTTTGATAAACTTGGCACTCAACTGGTCAGGACGTTTAAATTCCAACAATCTCTCTAACTGAGACTGAACCAAGTAGCTACTCGAAGTTCAGCAATTAAAATAAAATTTTCTAGGATACGGCATCCAAAAAATTTGCCGTGGCTAGATGGTGTTCTTCGAGATATCACCATTGCTGATATGAATTACAATGAGCTAAATGCATTTAAGAAGACTATCAGAACGGTATCACACTCTCCAGTTATAATTTTCATCTAAGCTGTACAGTGGGAGCTGATTCAATATTTTACCTTTTCTGCTGATTCTTGGAATCCGAGCCTACCCTGTTTGTTCCTAATTAATAGAAGAATGAAACTATTAGGTCGTTCCGAAAGTTCTTTCCGTTTTTTCAACTTGTCACAAAAATACGTGGAATGAAGATAGGGAAACGACTCAGGCACCGTCCGACGCAGCTTTTCTTTCTCTTTTCAACTGTCATACTCCTGTGCGGCTTGCTCTTATGGTCAGTGAGATAATGGCCGAAATTTCGAACCCATGGTTCTTACCATGTCCAGCTTTGGCAATTTTTCACTATCTTCTTTTTTGACTTTTGAAGCTTTGATAGCAGTCGGATAAAGTAAAGAAAGTGCAATTTTATGCAATTTTTCGGCATCTATAGTTAGCCTCAAAACATTTTTAGAATTATTTTTCTGATGCTATCAAATTCCACTTTTGGGATGCCAAAAGCCACAGAACATAAAGCGGCGCACAACTAAGGTGTCATTCGATGCAGCTTTTTCTCCTCTTTCTGATGAGTACTTTCTCTTATTAGTTTGTAAGGTCTTTGGCGATAAAATCTCCATAAATCTTGATTTTGAACCCGCCTCATGATGTATACGTGCAATGCAAAATCTTATATTTCAAGCGGTAAACGCTCAGTCACTTTGTAAAAATAGTGGACAATCATAAACGACTTTTGAAAAGTTTCCAAAACCAAAGATTTGTTGATGTTCAGAGCGTTTGTGTGTTTTGTGACTTCGAATAAGTGAAGACTTCTGAAAAAGTTATCGAAAAAAACAATGAGAAGCCGGCTGAAATTGCCAAAAAATTACATTGCATTGCACTTTGTTCACTCTATCTGGCTGTTATCAAAGCTTCTCCAAAAGTTGAGAAAGAAGATAGTGAAAAATTGCCAAAGTTGGACATGGTAAAAACCATTGGTCCGAAGTTTCGGGCATTATCTCACTGATCACAATAGCAAGCGGTACAGTAGTATGACATTGAAAAGAGGAAGAAAAGCTGCGTCGGACAGTGCCTGAAACGTTTCCCCACCTTTATCCCACGTGTTTTTATGATATGTTGAAAAAACGGAAAGAACTTTCGGAACGACCTAATATTTACATACCTTCCGTTGATAGTACCACTAAAGCCATAAATTAATCTTGTGGCAAACACGGATTTGAATATGCATAATATAAAGTACTAGTTGACTTTCCCGGTCCAGCCCGGGCCATGGTTCATCGCACTGCGAGCCCCTCCCCCCGCGCAGGGGTCGAAAGCATGTGCGTGCAAAGTTTCAGCTGAATCGGTTGAGTGGCGCGCGTTTCTATAACGCACATACCCTCCAAACTGACAATTTTTGGGTTTTATATATATATAGATCACTGTACCATAAACATTCAACAGCACAACCCTTATATATATATTTGCTTCAAAAAATTCGAACACAGAAGATGCAGGTGCACGCGACATCTTCGCGCAGTGTCACATCATTAAGGCGCGGGCTGGCTTCCCTGCTAAACTAGGCCTGCAGCTGACAGTCGTAGTGCGTAATTTCTTATAAAAGAATATGAAACAGACATAAAAACCAGTAAAAATTTTACATCAACAAGTCCTGAGTAAGATACTTCTTCGCGAGCGTAATCGCTGCGACTATATTACGCGTCATTTTTGCCGGTATACTTCCTACAATTAGTTTTATTCAAAAGAAGGCTCCAACTTGGGATATTTATATTTATATTTATATTTATATTTATATTTATATTTATATTTATATTTATATAAAATACATCGAACAAGCGATGTGCTATTATACAATCATAACTATAAACGAAAGAACTGCACTCGATCAAACTAAGGGGAGAGAAAATAATTTATTCAAATATGGGAATATAGTCTTTGAAAAATAGGCACGATGGGATAGTGACGCTACGTTTGCTGCTCAAGACACCTTGTTAGGTTATCCATAATTTTTATGAAAAGCTTAAATTCTAGTGAATGACGAAGAAAGACGAGAGTTTTTTTGCGTTTTTTTCCCGTTTTTTTTGTTTCCAGTAGCTATTTCTCGTTAACTAGTGAACCAGCAATTGAAGGTGCTAGTAGCATGCGCGCGCTACGGGACCGCCGCGTGGTTTCCCGCTATGTGCACATTTTTGAATTGGGCTTACGATTCTTTATATATTAGATCTGTCTCTTTAAGCTGAGTTCATACTGACGCAACTTTAGACCAGAAGCCATTTTGTGCTGATGTCTCAAAATTTTCCACTTTTATTTTCAGAAAAGTAAGAAATATGCGCAATAGAACGAGATTTGGCGCTTATCTTTGCAATTCGAGCACTGTGCTTATATCTGAGTAGAGTAGTCTCCGAATAAGCCCTTTTTCGAAACTCCCAATGTTTTCTAAGGACGTTTTACAGAAAAATCGGCATAATTACTGATATCAACTGACATGGAAACCAGAAATTCAAAGCAAGTCTTAGGTGAAAACTAGTCGACTCATTTGAAAGCATGGATTGCTTATATTGCAGGATTTCTCGCACTTATAACTCAATCTCATTGACTGCGCATCTTCGCTATTTTTTGGAAGTGAGAGTAAAAAATTTCAAGAGTTTGAACACAAAAAGGGCGCGTAAGTCTTTTATGGCAGCATACCAACAGAAAGAGCAGCTGCGGAATGCTGACAACAGAAAGAAAGAAAACACAGAAAAAGGGCTTGGGCGTTATCTTGATTCAGGCGTCTGGCCTTGAAGGGATCGCTGTCCATCCGATTTCAAACGATTGTGCAGCACACGGCGCAGCGAGATGACTAGACCGATGACGTCTACTTTATCGAAGTTCGTTTACGTGAATGCCCTTATCAAAATAAACCCCAGCGAAAGAACAGTGATTCACATATTGCCTTCATAAAAACGTGCATGCAGGCTAATCAAAATGCTTATACTCCTCTAACTCCTGTACAATGCTTTGCAAAGCGACCATAGCAGTTTGATGTTTGTACGAATATCTTGCTTTTAGCTTGTTCCCCAATTCCCTAATAAAAGCAAGAATTTCAAGCTGCTTTTAGAAAATTCTGACTGTTATTATGAACAAGTGGGCAGAGGTACATTAATTTTTTGATGCAGGCTCTACGTAATCCAACCACAAGGCGATATATCACAATCTCCATAGACAAACTCGGACGCGTTGCTATACGCTCGGATAAACAAAGTTTCTATCGAAATGCTGGCAAATATGTGGACAAGTGAGTTTTCCTCATTTCACAATCTTAGGGTTCCTTCATACTACGCCGCAGGACGCAGCAGCCTGCAGCACGCGGCAGCAGGCCGTATCCTGCGAAGGAACAATTTCGGAGAACACGAACGTGCAGCAAATATAGACATACATCCATAACCGACGAAGCTGTGCTGCCGTGAGCGTGTATTTCCACTGCGACTGCAGCAGCGCACGCCGCAGGACGCGGCGTGCTGCTGCGTGCTGCCGCGTCTGCGGTGTAGTATGAAGGAACCCTTATAACGGGGTCTTAAAAGACACTCAGCTCAGTTTTCTTTCATTTCGATGAATGACTTTGTCCTAGCTGCTGCAAATTGACAATTTTTCAATATCACTCTCTCTTGCGCTAATGGTTATATATACACAGAGCATTCCTTTGACAATGCCGTTTTGGTCAGAGTTGCAAAACGGTCGAAAGGATGTCCATTCAAAAAGTCAATTAACCAGACAGTCGTTTTTTCATAACTAGCTTCTTCCAATGCGTAGACATACCTTTAACTACACATGGCCAATCGCTGCAAACACTTTATCTGGAATTAGGGGTATGGATACGTTTCAAGGCAAAAAAATATCTTAAAACCCTGCAGCCAGCGATGATCTGCGGAGAAGATATTAAGTAGCTTCTCCTAATTAATCTTCAGCGCCATCTATTTCAAATCATAGAAATGTAATGATATGTTTATGCTAAACTTTGGTAGTATCATGTCTCTTGAACTCTGATAATCATTTTGACGCAGGACCAGCCAGAATCTCTTCTACGTTGTGTGTTTTTATAGGATACTAGCTGGCTTACCCGGCTCCGCCCGGCCCTGTCAAAACACTTCGATAAAGTTCCATTCCCTTCCCTGTACAACCTTTCCATGCTCACTTCTACATGCAATTACCTAGTCCCGCTGTATTAGTAATCAGCATGCTCACCTTCCTCACTAACCCCCAGTCCCGTAGCTCAAACTTTGCAAAAAAAACAACAGTGAAATCGATAAAAGTAAGGGTAATCCTAAAAACTGATGGCGTTATTCGGCTATCCAGGCCCTAAAATGTTTTGTGGTGTGTCTTGCTCAAACTCTGTAATGGGGGATATTTAAGCCGCTGATGACAAATATCGTAGTCATTTCGCGTGACAGTGGGTAAAAATCAATGAACCTGCCTGAAACCTTGACAGGGAATTACTTAAAGTGCTGTTTCAAGAATATCGTGCTTAATCCTTACGATAAAGACAATTCGTGTAGTATAAAAGTTTCCCACGACCTAATGCTTTCCTTATAGGACCACTGCCGCGCGCAATACATCCTTCGGCGGCTTTTGCCTAAGCAAAAACAGGGGGACGGAGATTTGCCGCGCGAGTTGCGCGTTAGGACAGGTTATCAGGATGGCGTTAAAGACTGCCATGCAAAACGACCGTTTCCCATTACTGAATATCTGGGATCTAAATAGGCCCGAAAACGAAAAAATGTCCATTCAAATCCTGCAACTCACCATAACTTCACAATAGTGCGCTATGACAGCGAGCAAGCATCATATTCATAAGCAGTATGCTTGTGAATTGTTACAGGTAAGGTTTTGAGCAAATCTGGAACTTCGACCCATCTACTGTACACCCATGTAACCCAAGAAAATGCGCTATCCTGCGAAATCAGCATGAAATTCATGTTCAGCGCACTAAATGACCACCCTAGACGATGTTAAAAGCAAATCTATGTTTTCGATCCCATACCGCATAACCACAATGACTCCATGAAAAGGTCCCAATATGCAGAATCAGCATATCGAATAAGTTATCTGGGCCGAACTCCAGCCAAATTCATGATTTTGACTTCCTACCGTAGACCTACCGTAACCACACGGGGAGACGTTCTGCGGAGAAAGCGTGATATCTGTAATCAGCTTGCAAGATAACCCTTATACACGAAGTCTGATGCAAACTCTACGACAAATAAAATTTTGGGGCCCGAATAGCATAGCACCAAACTAATATTGTACTCGTAATCAGCATGCTCGATTACCCCCTGCTCAGATAATCGCGGGGGGGGGAGGCGGCCATGCGAATTTTGAGCAAGCGGGCACCGGAAAAATAGACTTCTTGCGGCCCGCTTGCGGAAATTTGGAGGAACGTTGATCAATTATCAGACTAATGCCCGCAGAACTATCGCGGTTTTCCTATCGATTAGTTGCGGCGCAATGGTTGCATTCTCGCGGACTTTCCGCGAGAGTATGCAAAATTATTGAAGGACCGCACAGCCCTCAGGTACTTTCCGCTGAGAGAAAGTACCTCAAATTTGAGTAATTAAACCGACGATGACACCGCTGCCATACAGAGTCTTGCCCTGCTCGGCGTACTCCCGAAACTGCGTTAAAAGAGTTCGAGCGCTTGCTGAAAGTTTGGCCAGCGCTCGCTGAAAGAAGTTATTTGCCGAGCGCTTGCACAAAATGCTGCCCGCTGGCAAAATATGCGACAGCAAAGGAAGTGCCGCCCGTTGGAGGTTTGGCCACGCCCCAATTTTCTGCTGACCGCCTGCAGAAAAGCGCGAGTTTGCGGACCGCCTGCCCCCAGCGATTCTCTGAGTGTGCAAACTCTCAGCCCCGCCGGTCAAAATTTACAAAAAATCGATAAAATCGATAAAAGTAATCGATAATTCTGAAAACTAATGTTGTATTCAGAATTCCCATGCTCACTTACCCCCCCCCCCCTGTGCCATCTCCCAGCCCCGAAGGTGAACTCTTCAAAAAAATCGATAAAAATCGATATAATCGATATCGATCGATGAAAAGTAGCCTGTGACACCCGCCGGGGCCCGAAGTGTATGTGTGCCAAGTTTGGTCTGGATCGGTCCAAAAATGTAATTTTCTATTCGGAACATACGTACAGACAGACATACAGACATACAGACAGACAGACAAACAAACATTCAGCTTTATATATATGACCAGACCCAAGTGCCGCTTCGCGGCACTTCGGTCTGGCCATGTGTGAAGTGGGATGTGCGTGAAAGTTTGGCAATTGCCCCTTCTTATGGTTAGTCAAAAAGTGGGTGTCTGCAAACATCTGCTAATAGCGAAAACGAGAAGTAAGTAAAATATAGGTTTTACATGTTGATGTGAATGAAATATACAGCGGAGCTTTTCTTATCCCCACTTGGCATGTGGAAAATTCACAGCTTTTGCAAAACATTAGCTTGCTGGGTCTAAAATAGCCAAATCTGCTGAGATTGCGCAACTTGGACTAAAAGTATGCCATCTAAGTCATCTCGAAAACTTCTTGGAAGAAATTGAAAGCTCACACTGCGCTGCAACCCCCCTTCCCCTGCCTGTTTTCAATCCCCCCTCCCCTGACTGGAGACTTATCAGCGTAAGCATATTTTGCTTTCTTTCCGAAAAGTTTACTTCAAAAAATCTCCACGTTTTCCTAGTTCCTTATTTCTTCAAAATGTGCCACACTAATCATATTCTTGAGGTTTTCAGAAAGATTTTTTATCAAAATTTATGCATTTCCAGCGAGAGTAATCTCAACCTTCCAACCCACTTTCAGCTCTTCTATTACTTATTTTCCCCCAAATGATGTCTTTCGAAAAACCGCGCGCAAACGTCTCCGGTCCCTTTGAGATCAGGGGGGATTAAAAATGTCTGAATGTCCCTAAGTTTATAATTATGTAAATTTGGCATCAAAGTGTTTGCGCTATATTTTGCTAGTTTTCGTTTGCCTTTAGACTACATCTCAAAGAATACTCTTGAGCTTCCTCTGTCAGGACCGCTTAAGGCTTTGATCTCTGATTTGCTTGGAAACTTGCGTATATCTTTGCCTTTGCTGGAGTCAAAGTGCAAATCTTTCCGAGTTATCCCACTTCTCCCCCCCCCCCTACCCCCTCCCTTCTTTCGTATCAACTTTCTCTACGCTACCCTAACATCTCAATTTTGTGGCATTTTAAACCATATTTTTCGTACTCCCAGCATTGAGGACCTCCATCTTTTTTTCCTTCAGCTCACAATGATTTTTGTACCTCATCCAATATGCTTTCTATATTTTGACTGATGTTTTCTGAAACTCCAAAACCTTGTTAGCGAAGCTATCCGGGCTCGCTTTGCTGCTCGCTATTGCAATATAGTAATCTAATGCATAACGAAAACAGCTAAGTAACCATCCCCCTTCCCAGCATTTAGCTTGTCTAGCAAGACACTTCGCTGGTTAAGCTTCTCGATCAACATCATCTAAGACAGGCGCCAACCATTATGAGCCACGGCTCGGTGCATCTGAACCGGCACATAACGACAAAGCTGTTGACATCCGAATCGCGACCACGAAGGGAGGGGGGTATGTTACATGCATGAGTCATCTCTAGCGCTTTATTATAGAGAGATTTTGAGCAAAAGCGAACAAACTCAATTGTCCTGTGAAAACTCTCTTGACTGGTAAGATTCTTGAAAGGTAGTCGTGAGAAGCCTATAATTGCTCTTAACCAACGAGCGATAGGGCGAATTTGACCTTGTCCGCTAGCCTACTTTATGAGAAAAGTCACAAGTTTTCATGAAAGCCGCTTTTTCCAAGACTTCTGCTTCCAATGCTTCCAAAGGAGCAATTTGCTGTTCGTCTGCATCCAATCTACTTTTAAATTCTTCTCCAGGTTAAAAAGGATCTTCCTCAACTGATTCACCGCGGTGAATTTCGATGTGCAAGTTTTATTGCATGCTTTTGATAAGACATATAAGATCTTGATAAAGTTCCGTTCTTTCCTTGTCGACTTCAGCTATCTCACAGCCACCAAATTCTTGAATGATAAGCAATCGCTAAGCAGAGGCATCATCACTGCAAAGAGTAGCACTTAGCAAATGATCCCAAGCAATTTTCGATTTCTTGCAACTTTGTGTTAGCCGGCATGTAAAGATGTTGTTGTCATGTAGACATTTTGAGGCATGTGGCTTCCGTAACTAACATACAAAAAATTCGTTGCTTACTAATACCTTGGTCTTTTTCAAGTTTTCAATCATGAAATAGACAGTCATTTTCATTTCCAAACTTCAACCATTTGTAAGCTCAAAATTAGGATTTGGTAAGAAATACAAACAAACAGACAGAACCAAGTCTCTTTGCTCAGCAATCAATTCACTTTGCACTTCGCCTGTTGCCACCCTCGCACACTTAACTATATTGCTGGTAGACAAGGGCATGGTGAAGGGCGCATTATCCCGGAAAGAGAAAACCTCAGAATCTTTTCCATCTGAACCATTCCGCAGCTGAAAACCACAGATTTATCACCGTTTTGAGATTTGATGCTGCTGTTGTTGCTTAAACGTGATTTTACCACCTCAGTTTTTTGTCAAATTACCCGCCTTTCACTCTTCAACTTACATGATTGTTCATGGGAAAATACATTTCCTTAATGTACCTTTTTATTTTAAACGCTTACCTTTCAAAACTGACTGAGATCATAAAGTCGAGTAGACATGCCGGTAAATTGAGTGTAACTGCAGTGTCGAGATTTTGTGATGAAGATTGCGCGTGCAAGTAGGTACGCCTGAATTGCTGGCTCGGCATTCCTGGCATTAGTGCTGTTAGCGACATTTCTGTCCAATATCTAAAGCTTATGCAAAATAGGAATCAATGACAAACCTGTACGAGAGAGAGTTGGGAATAGTTGTTGGCCAACTTCCTGAAACCCATCTTATGCTTGTCAGAGGGTCATTCTGACTAATCGTGTGCTTCGCAAAACGAACGTTCAAATATTTTCATCAAAATCTTTCGTTTTCGTCAAATTCATCAAAATCAAAAAATGAATATTCATTTGATAAATAAACAAGTTTGATAAGAGAATTCGTGTTTGTTTGTATTTACAGATTCCCGCAAACGTGAAAAAGAATCCAAAATATTAGGACGGTGCACAAAGTTTGTCAATTTTTCAATCCATCGGCAACAAGTTAAAATGGAGATAAACAAACATTTCATAATGTATCCAATGCAGAATTTCTTTCTCTTTCCAACTGTCAAACTCCCATTGTGTTTCGTTGCGAGAATAACGAGATATTTGCTGGAAATTACAACCACTCGTTTTTACCACGTCCAACTTTCGCTAATTTTCAAAATTTTTATATGAGACTTTCGAAGGAGTTCTAGCAACCAGCAGATAGGGCAAACCGTTTGCCAACAAAAGCGGTTTTTTGTAGCCCTACTGCTTGTCTTTCGGAATTTCTACGATTTATTTTTTGGAAGGACAAATTTTACATTCAGCCTATTTTAACCTTGTAGAACATAAAATGTTAAACACTTCAGTCACCATTCGATGCAACTTTCTCTCCTCCTTCTAGCACTTGCTTTTTTGCCAAGACAGGTGAAAGTGGGGAAAATCGCAATATTTCTTAATTTTAGGAGTGCGCACTCACGTGACCTATGATTTTCAAAATTTAAAGCGGAAATCGCTCATTTACTTTCTAATGGTAGCGATAGTGATAATCGAGTGTTCCTCAGTATTCTGTAAGTTTTGTAGTGTTTGGTGCAATAACAGGTTATGCGATTTTTCCAAAACACAAGACTTTTAGAAGTTCAGCAGTTTGAAAGAGAAAAAAATTCTGCATTGAATCCATTTTGAAATGTTTGTTTATTTCCATTCTAACGTGTTTACCGATGGATTGAAAAAATTGACAAAACTTTTGCACCGACCTAATATTTTCGTAATCACTCACAATTTCAGTCTCGAGCCGAAAGCCTCTGACATCGCTCAACAACAAGCTAAAGATATTGTATTGCTTTCGGCTGAAGACTCCGAGGAGGATGATGTAGGTTAGGTTGCGCACAAAAGATCTGCTTATTATACTTATTTTAGGATGATCTTCCTTCTTACAGAGTAAGTAAATTTTCTTTTTCTTACACACGTTTATTATGATTCTTAAACTGCAAGTGAATACCTTTAAGGTTTCACTAGAGTCAAAACCCTTTATTGTAGCTGAAGAAAAGCAACCAGGAAAGTCTATAGCTACTCCCAAGTTAGTTTTGCCTTCTGACTACCAAATAAGTGTTAACTCTGCATTAGCTTGATAGCTTTCTGAAGAAAACTAATGCTTGAATGAGCTTGACATAGCATTAGCTCTATCTTCCTGCCAGTCCTCTAAAAAGATACATAGTACTTGCATGAATCGACGGTATTGAGTCTAAATTATAGAGGTTTCAAAGTAGCATTACTAAAACCAGTTGGGTCTATTTTGAGTTTTGGCCTACTTTGTGACGTGATCATGTGCGTTGGGTATACTCAGGCAGCCAACTCTTCTGCCGCGCGATAGATTGATCCGGGGAGGGGAGTGGGGGGACATTACTTGGGGTTGTTTATTAGGAATGCCGCGACGTTGAGTTACAGTATCCCCTGTGAATTACTTGCATTCCCAAAGTGATTTCTTTTTTCGAAAGGGATCGCAAAAGTCCAGAAGAGATGTTATGAGCCATGTATTATAACAAGGCACACATCTTGTAATTGGAAACTTTGAAATTTTCAAAACCAATTTTTACTGACTTTCATTGTTTTTCGTCACTGCAAATTTTTCGAGGTGTATCGCAGTGTTATTTGCTACAGAATATTTTATAGAGGAATTTCTATGATGAGCACTCTGCGGTGCGCGCGCTTTTTTCGTCTTTTGAAGATGACTTTTAGTTTTGTCGTAAGAGCTTCATGAAACTAATGAATACCATCATGAAGGTTGTTTTGAGAAAGATGTGGAACTGTGGTTGAGGGTCAGGCTGGCCGATAATTTGCGCGATGATTACTGCCTAGCGTTTCACGCGGGGCGTCTGCGCGATTGAAACTAGCGATTAATCGCGTATACCCATTCATCTGTACTTACAATTGGTCCCAAAAATAAGATTAATTCACGTTAGTTACAGTTAAGTCGTTTCACATGATCACATGTGTATAGCACACGTTCGTCTATGACGTTTTCATCTTGGATTGGGAAGACCTCTCCACGTAACTGCTTTCGGTATTTCCTTTATGCTTTTTTCCTTTCTAGGTACGAAGCTCCTCAAATTGTAGTGACGGTCAGCCTCTTGCATTTTTATGGCTTTAAATCGAGGATGGGTGCGCCTAACATCGACAGTGTGCAGTGACGCACATAATTATACGAAATGACTTCGACGGTATATCGGTGTGTAGGAAAAATGTTGACAGGTGCCGAAAGTACGCGGCGTTTGCTGTAAAACTGGCCTCTAATGGCCTACTTGTTAACCGCTTGTAATTCAGGTTCGGTTTTAAGGCGTCAGTCTATGTTGCAGATTTCATATGTTGTCTGTTTCACGTGCGCGCAATGCTCGTCAGGGTGTTTTTTTTTCTTGTAAATCTGAAGTGCATTGCACCAACAAGTGAAATATAAAAAGTTGCAGTGGCCTTTGATATGTGCTGTCTAATCCTCCCGTGTCTTAGATTAGTGTAAATTTAGTGTGAAATTTTTTTATGCGAGCAATTTACTGAGTCGATCAGAACTATCAAATTCAAAGCATTTCGAGCTTATTTATAATCATTAGCTGGCTTCAGAGACCCCACACGGGAAGCGCACTCATGCCCTGTGGATGGGTTACCTCAGTCCAAAAGCTAAAGACTTACCATCCCTCCTGCATATCTTTAACGAGAAGCTTCGGTGATATGTCGTCCTTGCTGAATCGACACCGGAACCTTCCCGCCTTTAAAAGTAAATGAGCTTTACTGCCCACGGTTACAGATACAGTAACGATAAATAAGTTTCCATTCCCTTAAGTAAGCATACAGATTAATGAATAGATTGAAGAGCCCAGCGTATTATTGCACAAAGTAGCTATCTTTTGCGCCGTGCCTCATTCGTAGAGGGAGGCTATAATTTTATGTTTACGCAATGAAGTCCATTAGTCACATACCTTCTAATTAGCAGACTTACAGAAATTGTGTTCCATTCACATATAAATTTAAAGCCACATCTCAGTGTTTTATCTAATGCTGGCTCTTTTTTGAAGTTATTCTGCAGCGCACAGTAGGACATTCGAATCGCTTTCATAGTTATAATTATTCCTGACAATGCAACTTGAATGGTAAAATGGCCTACAACTTTCCACCGAAAATCGTTCTGCAGCTATTAAGGTCACCTTCGGGTCAATTTCGAGCTGCATTGGGTAATACCTTTCTCGTATCTGGAATCACCACGAGTCCTAGCGTTCAGCAGTCCGATATTCTGTACCGCTAGAAAATGTAAGGTTTCTGACGATCCCGTCGTTTACACGCGCTTCCTACAACGCGCATAAAGCAGCTGTTGAACGAAAAAACTAGCGTTAGATTGTTTAGCGCGCTACACACTGCGCTTCTCACGAATACCTTTCGCATATGAAAGTGGATGAGATCCAACTCAAAAAATCTAAACTGATTCAGCTGCCTAGGCCAAAAATTTTGATCTGTTTTGGAAGCCTCACACAAGAGATAAGGAAGCTCGTTCAAAACGTCTACTTGCAAAGGTCCAAAGCTTACCAGAAAGCAGCTTACGCGGGTGTTTTTTTTTGAATGAAACCTTGATCGCGAATCTTTTTCAATACCACAAATGTTGATTCATCTGAAGCTGCTACATGAGTATGTCGTTACACTAAATATTGCCCTTCAATCTATATAATAAAGCATAGCATTCTGTCAATTCACGATATCGGGTTTACACAGATCTACGGTGGCCGAGAAAGTAAATGAACAGATTAAAGAGCATAGTGTGGATACGAAACTGGAGAAGCCCAAAAAGAAACAAATGTCAAAGGTAGCTTAATAGCACCACATGTTTGCAGACTGCTTATTTTCTAACCTATTTTTCAGAGACAGCGGTCGCAAAATAGCCAACATTCAAGAACGAAAAAGTAAGTGAACTATTTAATTTTTGTTATGTGCTGGTTTGCTTCCCGGATGAGAGCCAGGATCCTTTATAGCCGCTTTGTAGGATAAAAACAGTGCCATCTAACGCCGCCCGCAGTCAACAAGTCCACGATTAGTGCGAAAACACCATTAGTACGCGGGGGCGGCGCCCATGAGGAGTATTTGTTTCTCTACCAGCGTCACTGTGTAAGCAGCGATGAAATAATCACCAGTTTTACGGTTTCCACTAGCCATAGGATGTTAGCAGTCTGGTTTTGGATATGAAGCCACAACCAAATGAGTTATTGGTGGGCTGTGTCAAGACAAGTGATGACGCAAGGCCGCATGGCAGCTATTTAGCCAAAACTCTGCAGTACGATAACAGAGTTATGTATACAGTCTGCTCCAATCCTAACCAGGCCAAAATCGGCATGGCGGGAGTCCGCGCCGCGAGGGTTTCGCGCCACATCTGCTGCTAGCTAGTCTACTCTCTCCTCAATCTCTTCACTCTCTGCGACAGCGCGCGTATGTAGCGCAACCCCCCTAGCGCTGCGAGCGCGCAAATTCAGCCGAGGGTTCGGCCTGATCCCGATTGTTGCAGACTGTAGAGAACCGGAAACTTTGTAGTCGACACAGTAACCATACACTAGATAGGGTCACACAGTGCCACCTTTGAGAAGAAGATCTTCTTGCCCCTCAAACAAAATCACGAGGTTTATTCAGAAGTGTAAACAGAGGCTTGGCTACAAAACAACCTGCAACGCACAAAATACGTTCTAAAAGACATAGAGGAAACTAACAATAATAGCTAAGCTGATAGCTAATAACCAATCCTAGCTCGTAATATAGCTTAGATCATAATTTTAGAGCTTAAGCTAAGAAATAGATTTGCTCAAAAAATTCTAAAAAATTATGTGGAAAGGAAAAAATTACAACTTCTTTTTCTGAAAAAATTACAACTTCTTTTTCTATGTCACCTGGCAGCTCACAATAGATTTCGATATTTATATAAACAATATTTACACTACAATCGCGCGCATATACACCAAGTTTGGTGTCATTGGCTTTTGTAAACATACCATTTGTTCACTAGAGCACATTCTACTGCCCTGCATGAGATTGTAGGGTATGGAAGTGACCTGTTTTTACTTGTTTGCATATTATTGTAGATGTCTGGGAGAAGTGAGTTTAAACAGATATAAGTGAAATCTCCTCTGCCTTATCCATCAATCATTAGTCACTCAAGCGCAAATTAACCCAATAATGGCTTACGTAAACGCTACGAAGAGGGTCGATTAACAAATTCCTTCTTTAAATACAGCTATACTTTACTTTTATTACTTGGTACCTCTTCTACTAGCGTCATCGCCGATGCGCTGTTACCACGATCATTGCATCTATTGCATTCATCGTTTTCATCGCTGCTACAAATGTTGCTGTTGTTGAAAGACTAGTTCTATCGTATGCGAAAAAGACAACAACTGGGGCATACGAAAGAACAAAGAGTGTTTAATACACACCAGCAACACCGATAGCAGCAGCGACAACGGTAACAAGGCAGTGGTAAAGTATAACTGTACACCACAGTAAATATTTCAGGAGTGAAGAAAAGGGTGTTCTGCCTGAAATGAAGCTGTCTTACGAATGTATACCTGAAGATATCCCTTGTAAGTTTTTTTTCTGATCATAGCAAGGCGCTGTGCGCTCTCTGCGACATAAAATCTCACAAATAATGCGTAATCTCACTATTTCTTTTTCTATAGTCTTCCAGGCAAATTTATCTAAGGGCATAAGAATTCTCATGCAGTCACCTTCGTCTCCGTCTTCGATTTTTTGGGTTTCACAATTTTTTTTTGAAAAAAATGATCTGAGGTTGTAGGTCACCCAAATTGAAAAAAACAAAAACCTCAGAAGCTGTACTTTGAAAGCGCGAAGCCAATTCTCTTTTCATCGCGACACAAGAAAAACTAAATGAAACATAGACTTGCTGTATTCGTGCGATCGAAATGCTTAATATACAACAGTGTTGTGAGTTGAGCCAAACTGCGCGATGTATGCGGTATACGCAACGTTTGCAACGTATGCAACGTACGCTCAAGTGGATGAAGATCGCGTACGCCGCGCAGTCTGGCCCAACCCTGTGTGCTCCCATTTACTGTTTGCAAAGTATATGAAGCATACAGAATTCAAAACAAATTAGAAGAGGTTTGGGTAATGACAGTTCATCCTGGTTTTGGGCTGCCACCTGCTTTTTTTTAGGAAATGGGGAATCAATGTCAAAAAAATATCAGAAAAAACTTCAGAAACGCAGAAACTTGTTAATTTCAATGTCGTTGAAGCCTAGTATAAGGAATTCGACCAAATTCCACGGAGTGAAAGAGCTTGCACCACTTCCATTTCGTCTTCATTGGATTCTGCCGCGTCCTACTTCACCACTGTTCACTCAAACGATTAGAACCAGCTTCTAAAGGCTAAAATGGGACTGTGCTTGGGAGAACGCAGCTTGATTGAGAACGTTCTATCCACAGTCCCATATGGCAGTGAATGCAGAGTAATGCATGCTCTCCGTCCAAAATTCCAGAAGAGGCTGCAAGAGCAAATTTAAGATTCTATTTTTACTAGCTGGCATACAATTGCCTGCTCCTGATATGCTTTCGTAAACAACATGCACATCTGTCCCTGCGCATCAGCTCTCAGCTCCCCAATTGGAATTTACTAAAAACCAGTGATTCACCTCTGCTTCGAAGGGTTTCGCACTGGTTCTATTGTTTATATCCTTATGCTTGCGTAACGATGGCTGTGAAACTATCGCGCAAAGCTAGCCATCTTGGATGAATCGTTAGCAACTATTCATTCCAAATGCTTTTCTATGCACGATCGGTAACTTTAGAAGAAGTAAACCTTTGTGTCGAAGAATAAATGCGAAACTGAATCTGTTACACAATACATTCTGGCTTGATAGTCTAGTTCAAATCTTTCATTTGTATTGTGTATGCTGATCTCTGCTGATCATTTCACCACTATTTTTTATGGCTGTTTACTTCAAGAAGTCGAAGTTTGAGATTAATAATGACAGACAAGACAATGAGACAAGAGAGACAATGACTACCACGAGTTACATCTCTGAGCAAAAATTTTCACAGATTGTTAGGTGAAACTTCGACAATTGATTACCTAAAGTCTTGCAGATAAGTCCGCCTTTTTGAAACGAAAAATCGATGAAAAATCGCCCTCGCTTCTCCAAATGTCTTGCAGATAAGTCCACCTACAGATAAGGGAAGAGGAGAAAAGGAGTATCATTCTCGAGTCACGAAATCCCAAAATTTGTCTCGTAATTCACATTACCGAAAAGAACGCTTTTGCTAAAAATATGACAGAAAAATCCTTCTGTTTTTCATCTGAGAAAAGAAGCGGACTTACCGGTAGGCAGATTTATCTGTAAGCGGACTTATCTGGTGGCGGACTTATCTGTAGGCGGACTTATCTGATGGCCGACTTATCTGCAAGATATTTGGCGAAGCGAGGGCGATTTTTCATCGATTTTTCTTGTCAAAAAGGCGGACTTATCTGCAAGACTTTAGGTAATCAATTGTCGAAGTTTCACCTAACAATCTGGGAAAATTTTTGCTCAGAGATGTAACTCGCGGTAGTCATCGTCTCTCTTGTCTCATTGTCTTGTCTGTCATTATTAATCTCAAACTTCGACTTCTTGAAGTAAACAGCCATAAAAAATAGTGGTGAAATGATCAGCAGAGATCAGCATACACAATACAAATGAAAGATTTGAACTAGACTATCAAGCCAGAATGTATTGTGCAACAGATTCAGTTTCGCATTTATTCTTCGACACAAAGGTTTACTTCTTCTAAAGTTACCGATCGTGCATAGAAAAGCATTTGGAATGAATAGTTGCTATCGATTCACCCAAGATGGCTAGCTTTACGCGGTAGTTTCACAGCCATCGTTACGCAAGCATAAGGATATAAACAATAGAACCAGTGCGAACCTCTTCGAAGCAGAGGTGAATCCATTTTAGCCCATTTCAGCCCATTTTTACTGGTTTTTAGTAAATTCGAATTGAAGAGCTGAGAGCTGGTGCGGAGGGGTAGATGTGCATGTTGTTTACGAAAGCATATCAGGAGCAGGCAACTGTATGCCAGCCAGTAAAAAGAATCTTAAATTTGCTCTTGCAGCCTCTTCTGGAATTTTGGACAGAGAGCATGCATTACTCTGCATTCACTGCCATATGGGACTGTGGATAGAACGTTCTCAATCAAGCTGCGTTCTCCCAAGCACGGGCCCATTTTAGCCTTTAGAAGCTGGTTCTAATCGTTTGAGTGAACAGTGGTGGAGTAGGACGCGGCAGAATCCAATGAAGACGAAATGGAAGTGGTGCAAGCTCTTTCACTCCGTGGAATTTGGTCGAATTTCTTATACTAGGCTTCAACGACATTAAAATTAACAAGTTTCTGCGTTTCAGAAGTTTTTTTTCGATATTTTCTTTGACATTGATTCACGATTTCCTAAACATCAAGAACATATCAAACGGGACTTCGTGAAATATTCGAAAGTCAGGAGGATTTCGTTTCCAGAAACCCTAAAAACCGATTCGTACCAGGTCTTCCTTCGCTCATGTTGGCGTGTACTAGTTAGGACCAGAGTTTACTTCATATAAGCTCAGGTTTCAAGCTCCTTTTTTGCCAAACACTCCTTTTTTCAAGTTTCAGAGCTCTGGTACAACTCACTAAGCTTTTTGATTCTGCGTTGCAGTTTTCAATGCGTGCAAAATTCGAACTTCACTGTGAAAGTAGATTCCTTGATTTTTATCAATGAGTTCTAGAAGGCGTTAGCAGTTACTTGCCCATCCAACTTTTTTGTGGTGTGTAATCAAAAAAACTCAAGTTGTCCCATTTCTTCCTGCGCTTCCCTCTAAAAAAACAATTACCATTATTTTATGAGAACAAGACGCACCTTTTTTCGATGTTTTAAGCGAGCAGCTCAATCGCCTCGTTTTGTTTCGAAAACGAAACTTATGCCGCACGATACTCCCAGACACTATGCAGAACCGCATAGCGTCTTTTGGTCGCGAACTATTTTGGTGAGTCAGGCTGGTCGAATTTGGAAAGAAACAGGGGCGACATGTACTCGTGAAACTAACTATTTATTAGAATACGTCGCTTTGCAGCGTATAACAGTCATTCGAGGTTGTAGGACATTCTCGCTTGAGTATTATTGTGAGCCAATGATGATGCGAACATATTCTGATTTATTCATTTCAGTCTTTTAATACATATGGAGAAAAAATAAAAGAATTAAGTCATTTGCATTCAAATCGGCTCTTTCCATCTTTCAAGTCTGGGGCAGGATTAGGGAAAACACAAGGACAATTCGCTCTGTTACATGCTATCCTAACTAACTCTACATATGCTACTCTGGCAAACTGAGCAATCTTCCTCATTGTCTCAAATGTCTAAAATGATAGACCACCTTGGCACAACTTCATCCGCACTTGTGGAATTAATATTTCTGTTACTACATCAAAAAATGACGGACGAGTGGCGTAGTGGTATGAGGCGCCGCTATGACCAGATCGGACACAGGTTCGATCCCCGCCCCTGGGCCAACCAAGCTCTCTACCCTCCGGAGCCGGTAAATTGATACCAGAGTAATCGGGAGAATAAAAGCACTGAGTTGGAAACGGCTGGCCCCCGCAAGTCACTGTAGTAGGCTCGCACGCATACAACCGACTCTTCGATAATGTGCGTTTGGCGGCAAAGAGTATTGAAGACGCCTAATCCTTTATTCTTTATCCTTTACATCGAAATTTTACAAATTCATTTGTACGCCAAGTACACTACAATGTTGCTGGAACCGCTTTCAATTTGACCAATTTTGATCACCTTAAACCTCAGCAAAAAAGTATGAGAACTCTTAAAATCGGATTTCTACTCATATCAAGTGTGATATAAGATAACACGTATTCGAGTAAAAGGCAGGTGATTGCAAGAGCATCATGTACAGATCAAATTAGGTATACCGTAGTTTTATCTGTGTATTGCAAACGAGCCATTTCTTCCCCAATCCGCATAGAAATCTTGCAGAAAAGTTAATTTTAATCATGAAGTTTTAATTTTAATTTTAATCACTCGTGATGGTGTTTGTCCTTTATCACACTGTTGTCTTTGTAGTGAAGCATAATCAATTAATCTATTCAGCTTCGCTTCCCAAATCCTACTATGCTTTCTGACAAATTGCACGAAGAACTCGGAATCCTACTTCTCACAATCTTTCAACAAACAATTAAGCAAACTCTTTGATATGGTCTCCAATAACATATTAATTTGATAAAAAGTTAGCCTCATGTGATTTTTCTATTATCTTTCTCTGACACGTAGGCAGGTGCTCTAGCAACGAATGACGCTTGAAAGAAGGAACTCCCATAAATGATAAAGCCATTTGTAGAGCAATCACTACCAATCAGAGAGTCGTCGGAGATAGAAGACCATGCGATTTACATGCAAGCGGACACCAGAAAAACAGCTCGCTGATTTGCGTCCGCTTAGATATTTGAAAAGAGTGCTGGCCACTTTTCAGACAAACGCTCAGAGAACAATCGCGTTCTTTCGTATATTACTCGCGGTGCAGTGGCCGCATTCCCATGGACTTTTCGCCTATATATACAAATTGTTAAGGTTGATAGCACGGTCTTTTGTGAGGGACGCACAGCCCGTGGATGCCTTCTACTGCGAGAAAGACCCAAACTCTAGTAATCAAACCAATAATGACACTTGTGAAATATGTAGTGCTACCTCTGCTCGGCGTACGCCCGAAACTGCGTAACAAGGGTTAGAGTGCTCGCTGAAGTTTTGATCCCCGCTGCCTGAAAGAAATTACTTGCAGAAAACTCTGTATTGCTGCCGTAAACATAACAGTAAATGTCAGTTCTCATGAGAGAGCATAGTCATGTCAAGATAGACAGGTTTGAAGAAGAATGCTGTGAAGTTTTGATTTCTTCTTTTTTCTTCAACAGGGTTTTCGCAAGTACTAGCACATCCTTGATAGACAAAGAATTGCTCAACACGCTGAGTTTAAGATTATAGGAAAAGTTGATTTTGAAAAAAATTATGATATTTTGAATTCAAAAATTGAATCGGACAGAACTTACAGCAGCCTGATAGATGCTTCACGCCCTGAGCAAGACGATTCGGACGTGCAAAATGATTGCAAGACAACAAGACTCTTTTTGTGGTGGATCTGTGTTTCAAACAACTCGAATGTTTCGAATAATACAACTTTAGCAAAGCAGTAGATTAAACGTAAAAAAGAGTTGTGCGTGCCCTCAGTAAAAGTACAGTCAAGTAGATTTTCCGCTCAATATAGTGTGCTTGCACAGTTTATAAAATGCGGTAAAATTTACGCGTGAACAGGTAGCTGCGCCAGCACTGCCGGCATTTTGCGCGCGCAACTGGCCGGCGTCACAGTCGAAGCTAATTCCTCACGCTTAAATTTTACCGCATTTCACCTTTTGTGCAAGCACACTATATTAAGAGGAAAACTCGACTGTACCTCTATCGTAAATGCTCTGGAGGACAAGCTCTCAAGGGTCTGTGTTTCAACTTTTCGGCAGCTGAAGTAAATCCGAAGAAGCGGAAAGTTATGATTCTAGGGGGTTTTGTTGCATCAACCTGTGTTGTAATAAGTCGAAGAACAATTGGCATCTAGGCGACTATTAGGTCAGAGAACGATCCCGACTTTGCTTACTTCATCGTATGTGGCTGTGATAGACCCAGGAAAGCCTACCTCGACAATTAAGTAGCACATGATCAGTCTGCGAATACAGATCCTGTAGGCGGTGTCAAACCAAGCCGTAGGCCTGCTTGTTGAACAAGACAACTATGCAATTTGTTGGCAACGGATGATCACTAAAGGTGCTAACGAGACACCCTAATCGTTGCGGAGCTGACGATCCGCGCGAGTAAGCGGTCTGAGATGTGGGTGGCAATAGTGTTATGCGTTACTACTTGATCTGCTTTGCTTTCTATGATGAACTGCACTCCGAAATAGCCATTTCTTCCTGAAGTGGTCTCACATCGTTGAGCTGATGTCGATGTCCATCAATGTTTACGACGAATATAAAGAGCTATTTACAGTCCAAAAATTGTTTGTGATGATCTGCATACCTCAGGTTTGATGATCTCGCCATTACTGAGTTTTCCTTGTTTTTTTTTGTGTTTTTTTGCCTGTTATTTCCATCACCCTACGTAACAATAAATAAAAAAATAAATAAACCTTGGCACTGCTTAAATCTCGATGGAAATAATTTTGGCACACCCCCACAGATAAGCAGTTGGTCTTTTCGGTAATATCTCAGAATGCGTGCGCTTATTTTGATTCTGATGCTCCCAATAATTTCACTTCATTTAATTCCAAAAAAGGAAATTAAGCTCTTTCTGCTTCGTTTGCAAATATGAAATAAGCGAATGAAGATTCTTTAAGGAAAGAAAGAAAGGAAATTGAAGGCGAAATTTATCATAATCTACTCCTTACTTATTGTTAGATACTTGGCTGCTTATCGTGATTTATCACGCGTTATATGGATCATTCGCTACACTGTTATACATTTTCCTTGAATGCTTTATCAGCAAATGTGCAAATCTGTAGAACAGACTTCGTTGCCCGCACAAGCCATCGGTTTCCAGGCAGTGGGCTTGCAAATCCTACACACAACCGTAAACGCTTTGAAATAAGCTAATTGGCTAAAACCATGACAAAGACCTTAATGCTTGCCTTATACAGAATGCTCTAAATGTTTGATCATTGCTATCTCTCTCTTTCGTGCTCTTAGAGTACAATTTCTGACTTCTTAGGGTAAGGCTAACCTTAGATTTGCGGTTTACATAAAACATCGATAGCTAGTAGGATTACGTCCCATTGGAAGTTTTTCAATAAAATCTGGGAAGTTGTGTAGCAAGGATATCACACATGCTGGTTCCTCAATCTTACAAACTTCAAAGACTTTTTCAAAGGTCAGAATCAGAAAGGACATTGAAGTAAGTTGTAGAAAAGTTCTTCGAAAAAGCTTTGCGATAAAATACGAGTTTCGTATGTGAACTACTAAATTAGCCTTGCTTTGAAGTTCGAAACTTGTTTTTTCCTCTTTGAGGCAACACGTGGTCCTCAATTAGAAAACCCCTTTAGTATCCTTATCGTAATCCTACTGTTATGAAGATGAATTAGTGATTTGCTACCTATGAATCCGGATTGAAACCAGTTAATAATGCTTGATAGAAGTGCACAAGAACACCTTGTCCACATAGACAGACATGAAAGAACTGGCTCGTCGTCAATGTTTTAATTATCATTCTGCCATGGGTGCTTGAAGTCGAGTTTCATTACAAATTACTCAACTTTATAGAAGAAGGAATCACATAACGTCCAGCAGAAGGTTTGCGAATGAGTGTTTTTAAACGTTCAAAACCGACTAGATGCGTATAGTCGAGTAGATTTTTCCGCTGAATATAGTGTGGTTGCATTGTAGGTAAAATGCAGTAAGATTTACGCGCGCAAAGTGCCGGCATTGCCGGCGTAGCTAATTGTTCACGCTCAAATTTTACCGCATTCCACCTGCAGTGCAAGCATACTACAGCGAGAAAACTACTCGACTGTGCTGTCGTCTGGCGGTTTCTGTGTCAAGCCCTCAAGCTCTTTAACTTTGTAGATGGATTTGCTTACATATTGGGGAAGTCGACGATGGGCGTGGAGCTCTTCAGAGATCAAGCTCAGGCAGACCAGTCAACCTACAGCGGCAAAAGCACGCTTTCATGAGGTGATAAAGCAGCCGAATTCCAGTAAATCAAATCCAACTTGTCAAGAAGTTCGTAAATCCGCCTGGTTCAACGCGATCTTCATCTTCCCTTTCAAACAAAGAAATCTTTTGAGAAACTGTTGAATTCTACCGTATGTTTTTTTTGATAAATCTCTGTTAGCCTTTGTCACGGAAACTGGCTCACCCATTTCCTTTGATAGAATCAGTCTTGATTTGCCATATGTAGTTTCTAAAAAAGATGGCGTAGAAATGAGAAAGGGTCGTTTGTACCTTTCATGAAACTATTCTGTGAATATACCCTTTTTCACCCTCTATTCTCTGTGGATGCCCTGGTATTTAATGACGCAGGCGATTACAACCGATCCAATTGACACGTGGCACACTTTATAAATTAGGTCGTTTCATAAACCCATAGAATTTTCATTCTCTTCTTCCTCTAAAGATAGGTCGCTTTGCGGCAAGATAGCATATCAATGAAAAGAGCTGAATGTTCTTTTTCGCATGAACTAAATGCATTCGATAAAAAGGCTGACCACTTTGATTCTCTCCTACCAACATTGAAATTTCAAAAGCTAAAAAGGAGCAGTTTGAATTTTTGCGCTTTTTTTCAAAGAGCGTTTTGCCATTTTCCGCCGAAAAAAATGGCATTTGCACGTCAATATGAGACATAAAGTTTAATTACTACAAAAGACCAAGGGTTAGGGTGTTCCATGAGCAAGACTTTAGAGCCGCAGCTTCAACATAATTAGAAATTATAAAATCCAGATATCCGAAGCTTCACGTTATGAAGCTTCTCAGGCAGCGGATAGGACCCCTCCGCCGGAGAAATGGCAGGGTCGCGGCGTTTCCCCAGCGGTGGGTCTCCCATTTGTCCGGCGGAGCCCTCCCATTTCTCCGGCGGAGACCTCCCATTTCTGCTCCGGATACCTCCCATTTTCTGCTCCGGATACCTCCCATTTTCTGCTCCGGATACCTCCCATTTTCTGCTCCGGACACCTCCCATTTTCTGCTCCGGATACCTCCCAATTTCTGCTCCGGATACCTCCCATTTTCTGCTCCGGATACCTCCCATTTTCTGCTCCGGACACCTCCCATTTTCTGCTCCGGACAGCTCCCATTTTCTGCTCCGGATACCTCCCATTTTCTGCTCCGGAGACCTCCCATTTTCTGCTCCGGATACCTCCCATTTTCTGCTCCGGAGACCTCCCATTTTCAGCTTCGGATACCTCCCATTTTCTGCTCCGGATACCTCCCATTTTCTGCTCCGGATACCTCCCATTTTCTGCTCCGGACACCTCCCATTTTCTGCTCCGGACACCTCCCATTTCTGCTCCGGACACCTCCCATTTTCTGCTCCGGAGACCTCCCATTTTCTGCTCCGGATACCTCCCATTTTCTGCTCTGGATACCTCCCATTTTCT